GTGAAGCCTGGCAGCTGCTCGCATTCTATTTCATTCAGCACAGTCGGTGGATACCCTAGACGCCTTTGCTTATAAAATGCACGAAAGCCTTGTCCGATGCTTATCGCGCCAACACTTAGGCTCGTTGGCATGCACCTGCCAGCCAGTTGCTTGCACATTGCCAGTCGCGTGTATTGCGGCTATGGGACTATGGGTGATATATCAACATCAACCCTTCACATGCTAGATGTATCTTGTAGATGTTTGCGCGATATAAGTATTTCTACAAGTATGAGCATTTGGCTGCTGCAGCTTATCATAGCCGCTGCTCCTCGTAAATGCGGCCCAAATGGGGCCCAATTTATGGCTCCATAAAAACAACATTAATGCCACATAAATACACATTTGTGCCACACTATGTGGCAATCGTTTCGAATTATTAAGCATACGCCGAGTGTGCGCTATTGATTTGATTTTCGTCTCTTGCGTACGTTTATGCACTTGATGCCGTGCGATGTTGCAACTGCTCGGCACTGGCAGTTGCCAGTGGGCTGTAAGTGTAACAGCTTCTGACCACATTTCAAATGCCAAGCGGATGTTAAGACAGGTGCTCTGTCTCCGGCTGCCTTTGAATCGCTACTACTTAAAGCGAGAATCAATTAAACATTGCCAGGTACGGCGAGCCGGCGAAAATTGTGAAAAACTAATCGTTCAGTTGTACGACAATTAAAACAGCAAGCAGGCACTAATGTGTTTTGTACACACTTGGAAAACAACAAAGTGCATAAATGCTAATATGACGTCATATCGTATATCGCTACAACAGAAAACGTCGATGTTGCGAGATTTGAGCTAACGATGCTTGCACTTTTTACTACACTATGTTTTGGGTTTATTTATTTAATATTTTAAAAAACTAAGCTGTTTGGAAATGAATGCATCTGCAGCAATAAAATGTATGTTATATTTGAAATTAATTTGGAATAACTTAATAAGTTCACATTTTCTGCTGAGTGTATTCAGGTATACTATATAATGACCTTAGAGCATGATGCGAAGCTTCGTCGATTTTGCAAGGCATATTAAAACTGAAATGCCTAACTCATAAATTCATATTAATTAAGTGCACTGCATGGCCCGATATATTTCAACACTATGGATTTGATGACGTCGATGCTGATGAGGCTGTTTACAAAGAAGCGCAACGACCAGTCAGCCATCCAAGAAAAGCTATTTACATGCCACCACCTATGTATATGAAATGAACTGTTGCAGACAATGCGAGCGATGTGGCAAACAGCGTCAGCAAAAAGGGGAAAAAACACAAACTGAACAATAGTCGTCCTATGCACTTGGCACGCCCTTCTCTACAGTATTACAGGGTAGGCAGACAGGCAGATGACATAAGTAGCTAGCTGGCTGGCGATACAAATCAGCAGCTTTATGCCTCGTCGCCAAACAATGAACAAAAGCAACTGCATGTCGTATAGTCTTTAAGATTATGTTCCAAGCAAATGTCAACGCGCTTTTAATACCAGATGCCCAAATTAGCCGCCAAATTTCACCGAAGCGTCGTGTCGAGTGAAGTGGCATCACTTCGCATTGCACAAAGGCAACCAGAGCCATGCCACGAGAAATAGCCGTATATTCCGCAGTTATAATTGGACTTATCTCGACCATGTTGAAAGCCAAATATGCAATTTGAGCGTCTGCTCTGCGACGGCTGCACGGCAGGGCGCCGCAACTTGCCAGAAGTGGGTCCAAAGATATTGTTTATGGATTGTGGTCGCAGTTCGTTAGTTATGCATGGCCCGGCACGACCAAAAGGTCTGGCTGCTGGGTGTGCATACAGCATGTATGTCGAATATTTTTTGACGGCATTGTAAGCCAAATCATATTAAAATAAACTCACCCAATTACCAAATGTGTGCAGTGCTCGGCAGTCGTGCTTTTGTGTGTCATCATTGTGTTCGATTAATAGCCGGTGTTAGCTTTTTATTATTAACTAAATAATTGATTCTCCATAAAGAGATACCGTATGAAAATCAATTTAAAATAAATGTAAAAACGTGAATATTACTGTGGGCCACAAGATGCAAAGAAACGTTTAGTTATTCTAGTCTTCCTGCAGTTTTTTATTACTTAACACACAACCAAGATTTTGTATAAATCAAACGAATATATAAGGTTTATATAAATTGAGTTGCGTATAATAATCATAATAAGCATGTTGGCTTATTAAGTATTTGGAAAAGAACTTGGAAAATTAATATCTTAGTAATAGGATGCTGTGAGGGGACTTAAAAAATCTAAAGACACATATTATTGTTGTTTTTTGACAATATTCATTCTTCATTCCAGAAATATCCTATTTATATTCTGTACATGAAATGTACAATAGTACAAGTATGTTAGGTTTGCGCGAGCTGAAAAATGTAACAGGCAGAACGGGGCGTGGCAGACCCCACAAAGTATATATATTCTTGATCAGCGTGACAAGACGACTCGATCTAGCCCCGTCTGTCCGTCCGTCTGTCAGTCTGTCCGTCCGTCTGTCCGTCCGTCTGTCCGTATGAACACCTGGATCTCAGAGACTATAAGAGATAGAGACACCAAATTTTGCACAAAGAGTTTGTTTTATTTTTTGGATTTTCCACCATTCCCCCCCCCCCCCCCCCCCTCCCCCCTATGGGCATTTTCCCGATTTTCCATTCGTATTATCGCCTATAGGTCGGAGACTATAAGACCTATGGACACAAAATTTTAGTCCCAGATGCCTTTTGTGAATACGTAGGAAATTCTCTTCCTCCCCCCCTCTCCTCCGCAAATCGCAACTCCCGTAATTCTAGGAATTTCGAACTCAAACTTGGCAAATACCTCCAGTTTGTCATTATACATAAGTCCAAAGGCCCAGTTTCAAAATGATAGGCCGATTTAACAGGAAGTTATAGCCATATATGTACATAAGACCAAGAAGTGCCCGCAGCTGTTGTTGTTGTTTTTGCTCTGCTCAGGCACAGGAGACATACACAGACACACACAAACACACACATACATGCATCATTATTCTACACATATGTAAAGAGTATTCCAAAGTCGGGGTACCCGTCTTACTTTAGCTTCTCTACTTGTTTTATGAATGAGATATTTATTCTCTTCCTTATTTTTGGCAACACAAATCTCTTAAATACATAAGTAATTATTGTTCAAATTTAATTGCTTTCATTATATAATAAAAATACCAATCTGCAAAATAAAGGTATCTCTTGCGAAGCCACAAACAGTCAAAGCAGCAACCTCAAGATCTTGATGTCATGCAAATTCCTTTGCATTTGATAAGCCAAGCGCTCAGAGGCCCAGCTTTATGTAAAAGTAGTTTGCAAAAATTAATTGGCTCTTGCAGACAGGTGTAAAGCTTTGCGTGTATATCGTCGACTGCGTGCATAAATTGTTTTGGCACTGCCTGCGGCCAGAAGGACGCATGGCTGCTGCCTTTCACAAAGTTGTCGCCCCAAAGGCGAGCAACAATTAATTGACATACGCAGCAGTCACAGCGCAGCCCCAGCAACCGAGCGTGGCTAATACGAATATATGTACTGCTATACGGCCTATACGGCTCTATAGGCCGCACCAGATATTGGCCCACATTCAATTTGGCCACGCTGCTTGTCTTGGGCTTGAGTTCGTTTTGTATGCGCGCATGCCAAAGGCGTGGTCGCTTTGTCGAAAGCGAATTAAAAGTCCAAGCCACTTGGCAAGGCACTTGAAATACCAATTCGTGGACACTTGGACGTTCGGCCACTGGGCTCTGGCCCCCGTGCGTGTTGCATACGAAGTGTGGGCGCATGCGTTCTAATTGCCTTGTCATGGGCGTCACTCGCTATATGCGACTGATCTAATGAACTAAGCGTGCACTTTGTTAGCGTTTCAATCAAGCGAGTCGCACGCTTTGTTTGATTTACGCAATTGCCGTTAAATGGTCAGCTCATAACTTAGTTGCAAACAAAATTTATGCACAACCTTGAACCACATGCATTTGTCAGTTGTTTTTGGCAACTGAGAAGGGGTCGTTACTTTTAAGGGGCCGTTAAATTTTAAGCACTGCATTGGCCGCGACCTGAAGTGTGAAGCTAATATCGCAGCTCTACTTCGAGCATGTAAGACGAGAGTGCACTCTTGCAACTGTGTAATACGATATGAGCGGACTATGTATCGCATTTGAAGAAAGAAAGTCTGTCTGTAGCTACAAAGGCCCTTAGCGAATTGTTGAATGTCAGGCTGAAAGTGAAAGGATTTACATAAGCGCCCTGGTAGCATTGCCCTTTGGGTCTACGCGAAAAGCTCTTTAATCAAAAGTAACAATGCAAGCCATAAATAAAGTGTAGGAAGAAACCGTCAAGGTAAAGGCAAACACAAGCACAACTGAAAAGATATTGCAACAAAAGGAAAACACTTTCACTGTGCGCCATAGAAAATCAATAACAATAAATAATTATTAAAAGCTCAATAAAGCCACAAACAAAAGATCGAACAAAATACGAGTTCGTTTTTATATTTTGAGCGACTTGGTGCTGGCAGGCCAAAAAACAAAAAGAGTGGCAGGCGACAAAAGCTAACAAGCGATTAACACGGCCACAAGACTCATAAATTTGTGGGCATTTAAGGCGAAAATAAAAGCAAGGTTGCCAGCTGTCATGTAAGAGCAGCCAGCAAAGACAATGGACCCGACCAGACAGACCAAACCAATAAATACAAAACGAAAACAAAGCAAAGAAAAAACTCAAACTCAATGCAGTTGAAACATTCAATCAGGAGCTATTCGACAGCAGCTGCTGCTGCCGTAGTTGTTGTAGCAGCGCTGATGTCTACCCTGGCCGGGGGCCAGCTTTTGATTAATGCGCGCATGCGCGCCTCGAGGCGTATTTACTTCACTCACAAAGGCGTGTTGTCTACCACACTCGCATGGATAAAAAAGCCGAACATTTAATTCAACAGTTTCTCATTCTTTGCTTCATTCACAGAATATTTCTGCTGGCCATTCTGATCGCCTCGCAGGCGCAGGCACAGGCCCAGTATCATCACTTTGGGGAGCAGCTTCAGACGTCTCATGGGTCGGACTGCGCGCTGCTGCTCGCCGGACCGGGTCGCTCATCCGTCTACGACTACAATGTGAATCTGTTCCGTGGCACGCTGTAAGTACAAATAGAAAATATGCAAAGGAAGCTGACATAGATACCATTTACGAGCACATAGCTGACTGGGTTATGTGTGCCCGCAAATATTTGCCAGTCGACAGCGTGCTGCAGCATTCGCTGTCAATACTCGTAACTGCATGCTGACAGCCATAAATCTTCATCGTTGCTGTTGTGGCAGTGGCAACATGCGCCGCCTGCCGATTCTCTACACCTACGACAGCACAACTTTGAGCTAATCATTAGCCCCGGCAACAAAAGACATACATGCGACGCGGTGCTACGCTTGAAATGTTGTCGCTGCTAAATTGGCAAAGGGGGGCAAAGCTGTTGGCTTTGGTACTTGGCAGCTGACAACGCAGCCGCAAGTAACGGATGTGTCATTACCTCTTGACGAAGCTGTGGTTTTGTGAGAACATAGGAGTGGGGTACCTCAAACATTTACGCATGCGTGAAAGGTGTCTACTTGTATAGTTGGACAGAGTTTGGTTAGAAAATACGTAGAAAACACCTGACACAGTTCGGTAGCAAGTGAAATCTTTTGAATAGGGTTTTGCTGGCGAAGAATGTCTAAAAAATGTGTCAAGATCATATGAGACAGGAATGGTACAAGGGGGTGGCATTCAGAAAGTAATGAGGCCTTCCTTTCAAATTGCAATGACAATGCATTCGTAAGAAAGTAATTGCGAGATACCAAGCGAAAACTGCATATAGTCGATAAAGCTGACATTATCTCGTCAGAAATAAGCTTATGGAAATAATAATGTATATTTTATAAAATATAGTAATATTGCTATCTGTTTATCGGGCATAAATAAATTCACTCAACAAATCCGATTCTTAAGATTTGTTTGTTGTTGTTGATCTTCAATTACTTAACTGATAAGTTTTCTTTTAAAGTGTTCTTCCATCGCTCAGCGTCAAGTATATCAAAAAATAAAATGAAGTAAGATGGTCCCTAGAGAGAACATTATAGGTAATATTAATTTTGCTTTACAAACCATTTTAAATCTAGGATATCAATGTACTTGTTTGCTTTCCAAATCATATTCAAGAATATATCAGAAATTGACGAAAGCCTTTATAATATGTAACCAATAGCATCAGTAGTCACATGGATTTAAGTATAAGTGAATTAAGTACTGAAGAAATTAATTATTTTATTCCTTAACTAGAGATTGAAGAAAACAGGTAGGTATATTACCTACATACCTACCTACTACTACCTTTAAAATATTACATTAGTAAATTGTCAAAACCTTGCAAATATAAAAACAACAAAATCTTAATTTTTAATAAATTTGTGTTTACATATGTATATGTTTATTTTCGATTTAATCTGATTCCTAATTAGAAACCATTTCGATTAGTTGTCTGCATTTTATTAAGTTCGTTGCAGTGCTCTGCATCGGGTTGAGGGAAGCTTGCAGGCAACTGGATGAATTTCACGCCAATCTGAAATGAGTTAATAATATTTTTTAGGCAATAAGAATCAATATTTTACCGGAAGTCAACATTAAGTACTTACCTTGGGCATTGGCGCAATTAGTAAATCGTAAAAGGCATCTGTTGGTGAACGTGCAACGGGTCCTTCTTCTTGCTACATTTAGTTCGGCACAGATGGGGGCAAGGACTCTGCTGCATCTGGGACAAATAGGAATGCGCTGACACGAAACGAAGTCACTGATTGCGATGACGGCAATAGCAATAATAAATGGAATATACACCGATTTCATTGTCCGGGAATAAGAAAAAGTTAAATAAAAATTTACCTTATATACCCTGCTGCTTACTCATACTACTTATATAGGTCACATATGCCCTTTTCAAAACACGTGCATCTATTTTATCGATTTTATCCAGTTCTGAACAGCTGGCCAATATTGTAATCAATAGTTTTAGATGAAATATGTTGTGAATAGGACGTTGGTCTCTGACGATGTTATATCGTTAATGCTATGGAGTCTTGCATACATGTAAATTCTAGGGAAGGAGAGAGTAAACAAAAGATATACATATCTTATGCATATTAAAAATTTATAAAAACAAGAGAGAACGCTAAATTCGAGCAAGCCCGACAGACAAACTTCCGTCACTGAGTTATATGCGCCCATAGCAGAAGCAAAAAGAGAAGGAAGAAGAGCGTACTTGGTGCTCCAGTACAACTGGAGAGAATTTGCTTCGCTAATAACTTTTCTTAGAATTGACCGAATTGTATAAGATTTTAAACTAAAGTAGGTAACATACATAGATTGTGTTGAAAATCAATACAAACATAAGTACCAATGCACGCATGTTAATATAAGCAGATAATAATCTTATGTTATCTACAAGTTATCTGTCACTGTTGCATACGAATGTAAGCATAAAGAATATGTATAGCAAAAGTGTCAGTCTCCAATAAAACTCTAAAGCGAACAGACGCACGGCGGTCCGCGACTATTGTCTTTTACTTTACTCCTACTGAGCCCTTCCCTTTTCAGCGAATATATAATCTATTCAATAGGTTATGGGCCCAGGGCATATAGGCTCATAGGAGAAGTTCAAAGTATTGTGAAATAGTAATCGTTTGGTGACTCAAGAAATATAACATTTAAAAAATGAGTGCGCTATATCAAATAGACAAATTGGAAGAGCATAACTATGACTCATGGAGCATACAGATGCGATCTGTCTTAGTGCACGCGGAATTGTGGAGTGTGGCATCAGGTGCTGAACCTAGTAATACTGAGAGTTCAAGGCCAAAAGATGAAAAGGCATTAGCAATTATAACGCTAAGTGTAAAAGCTTCACAATTGGGCTTCATTAAAAATTGCAACACTTCGTACGAGGCATGGAAAAAGTTAAAGGACGTTCATCAGCCGAGTGGACCTGTACGGAAAGTGTCGCTGTACAAGAAATTGCTAGGCAAACGCATGTTTCAAGGCCAAAGCATTTCAAGTTACATACACGAATTTAACGAAATTCTGGATGGTTTGTGTACAGTTGGCATCGAATTAAATGATGAGTTAAAAACAATCGTGTTGTTGTCAAGCTTGCCCGAACCATACGAAAATTTTGTCGTCGCCATTGAGACGCGTGACAATTTACCGTCATTTGATGTGTTATGTATCAAGCTGATGGAAGAGGGAGAGCGCAGAGGCAATGCAGATGGAGAGAGCGAGAATGCAAGAGCATTTATAGCTACGCAGCAGATCGTCGCGCATTCCAAAGCGAATTCAAAAAGGAATTCAAAAATCGTCGTTTGCTACAACTGCGGCGAAAAAGGGCACTACAAGGCACAGTGCAAGCGTGAGAAAATTCGCGGTGAAGGGAAAAAGCAATCGACAAAGAAAGAGATGGAAAAGCAGAGCAGCTTGTTAAATGCGTTGGACGTTGGAAAGATAGAGAACAACATGTGGTGTCTGGACAGCGGAGCAACAAGCCATATGTGTTGCGATAAGACGTTATTTTCAAAATTTATTGCGCACACTGAAATGATCGGTTTAGCTGACGCTGGTTTCCTGAAGGCCGAAGGCAGAGGAGAGGTGAAGTTACAGACAGAACTTTGTACCTTGGTGTTGTCAGATGTACTGTATGTACCGAAAATGAATGGCAACTTTATGTCCGTCAGCCGGTCAGTGCAAAAGAACAATGTTATACATTTTGGGCCACATTTTGCTAAAGTTATACAAAACGGCGAGTGTATACTGAAAGCGAATAAAGTTGGGAACCTTTATATGTTTCAAGGCAAACAAAATAGGTGTTATTCCGCAACTGAATCAGATGGTACATTGTGGCATAAGCGTTATGGCCATTTAAATTTTACCAGTCTGAAGGAAGTGATCAGCAAAGAGCTAGTGCGTGGTATTGGAAAGGTTTTTTTCCCAGACAACTTGAATTGCAAAACGTGTATGCTAAGCAAAATACATGTACAGCCATTCCCAAAGGTAAGCACTAACCGTGCCGAAGAGCTGTTGGAACTGGTTCATGCTGATGTATGCGGCCCATTCGACACGAAGTCACTTGCTGGATCCAAATACTTTCTGACCTTCATCGATGACAAGTCCAGGCGTATATTTGTTTATTTTTTGCGGAAGAAAGATGAAGTGTTCAGTAAGTTCGTCGAATTTAAAAACTTGGTTGAACGGCAAACAGATAAAAAGCTCAAATGTATTCGAACCGACAATGGAGGCGAGTTTGTCAACACAACATTCAACGGTTTCCTGAAACACCATGGTATTGCAAGGCAATTGACCGTGGCTTATACTCCGCAGCAGAACGGCGTGGCGGAAAGAGCAAACCGGACATTAACGGAGATGTCCAGATGCTTATTGGTGCAGTCGGGCCTAGGCGAGTCTTTGTGGGCCGAAGCAGTCAACACAGCAGTATACATAAGAAACAGATCACCTACCAGTGCACTGAACAACCTGACTCCAATGGAAGCGTGGACAGGTAAGAAACCCTGTGTTAGCCATCTAAAAGTTTTTGGTTCCATTGCAGTTGCACTTGCAAAGGGTCCCCGTAAAGGCAAATTCAAACCCAAAGGGCATGAGTACCGTATGGTTGGGTATTCGGTAGCAGCCAAAGGCTATCGGTTATACGACCCAGAGACGAGGACGATTGTCGAAAAACGAGACATTCTATTTGATGAGCGTTGTGGTGGTCATACCAATGAAGATACCGTTACGGTAGATTTTCCTGCATGCGAGGTTCAAGAGCATGTCACTCACACGGATGGTGACAGAAGCATCGACGACGATGACAGTGAGCACAGTTCTGACGACAGCAGCTCCAACGCATATGAGAGTGCAGTCGAAAAAGAAGACTCTGACGAGGATACTGTGAAGATTGGGCCAGGCCGGCCTAAAATTGTTCGAAATGGTAAACCTGGTCGTCCAAGAAAGCAATACAATGTGCTTGGAGCATTGGTTGCTAGTGACGTAATGGTTCCGACATCCTATGATCAGGCCGTTGGTAGCACACATGCAGTATTCTGGCAAGAGGCGATGCAAAAGGAA